CCCCAAAGTAGGCTCTTGCTCTCCAACATCTGCCCTTTCACCTGTATCAACCCTTGACTCTGGCAAGAGGGGCTCTGAGAGCCAAGACTCAGACCTCTGGGACAGTTCCCCTGCACCAAGGCCCAAATGCCCATGTGCCCGGCATTTTCTTTATGTGGCGAGCATCTAGATTTGGGAAAACTCCAGCTTGCCGTTCCTCCCGGAGGAGTTAATGCAGCATCAGGCATAGCTGGATCCAGGGGCTCAGCTAATCTCATCAAGTCTCTCTCCACCTCTTGAAAGCAGAATCTTTCCTCTGATTCACGAGGGCCCTAAGCAGCCTGGCTTTGCCAACACTCTCTGCCCTCTTCCTACTGTTCTTCCACGTGCTCCCTCGGCTCCAGCCCCCTGGTGTCTTCTGCATTCAGACATGCTTGGGATGGTCCCATCTCAGGACCCCTGCACTTGCTGTTCCCTCTGCCTGGGACATCCTTCCCTCGGATGTCTCCACGGCTCCCTCCTTTACTTCCTTCAGGTCCCTGCTCCTGGGAGCAGCTTTCCCTGCCTTCCACCTTGTCTAAAATTGCACTCCCCGTTTTCCTACCCCACCGATGTGGCTAACGGCCTTCCTCGCACAGATCACTTCTAGAGCCCGGGGGGTGGCTGAGCGGCTGAGCGCTGACCCATGAACCAGGAGATTACAGGTTGGATTCCCGGTCAGGGCCCAGGGCCCGTGTTGTGGGTTCGATCCCCAGCAGGGGGCGCGCAGGAGGCGGCCCATCCGTGACTCTCTCATCGTTGCCGTTTCTCTCTCTCCCTCTCCCCTCCTCTCTCTGAAATCAGCCCAAGGGGCCCTGCGGACCGTGAGGAGGGGGCAGCAAGGGCGGGGAGAAAGCTGGTCCCGGGAGGGGGTGGACCAGGCTGTTCTGTGCAGAACAGCAGCAGCAGACTTTGCTGCGGGCCGAGAGCACCTACTGTGCGCCACGAACTTGGGACACCACGGCCCGTCTTTATGTCACAGGGGAAACGGAGTCCTCTACTGGCTTTCTCAGGACGCCCGAAATGTCCTGCATTCAGGTTTGTTTTGTGTGTTTTTTTCCCGCCCCGAATACGTCACAAATTTTCAGCACTTAGAGTTATTTTGCAGTTTAGTTGGGCGTCGAATTCCCTAAATCTGGCAACTCTAGCCAGGGACAGGGGGAGGGGGGGTGTCTCGGGCTCCAGACCTAGGGCTTCAGGGGGTGGCCCCGCCCAGTCCTCCCGCGGTCCTTACCCCAGGACGCCCGTCCGCTCTCGGGAATCCAGGCCTCCTTTCCCCCGGCCCCTCCCGCCCCGGGGTCCGGCACTGAAGACCCGCGAGCCCGCCGCGGCCCCTTTAAGAGCGGAGTCGGGGACGACGTCGCCGGGTCGGGCTGGCCAATCCGGGGGCGGGA